AGATTTATTTTAATAAGCTTTCCTTAATTAATTTAATATGAAATTTTTACAGGTGTTACACGTGGTTATTTTTAGTTTATGTTTAAAATTTTAGGATTTTTAAAGTTCATTTACCCTTGATTTTAAATTTATTAATTTTATGCCTAGATATTAATTGTCTTAATTACCTAAATTTTAGTTTAGTTTATTGTTTAATTTTATTTAAATCTAAAATTCTTAGTGAATGATTGTATACTTGTATATAAATTGTGTTAGATTTCTTAATTCGGGAATTAATTTCCTATTTATTTAGCATTAGTCATTTTCTTTATGTTTTATTATCTAATATTTGCAAGCTTAATTAAGTAATTAGTGTGATGACGGATAGTTGAGTCTCCTAAATTATAAAGATTGATGACGATCCTCCATCAACTTCATGACATAAAAAATGTCAAAAAAAATTATAAAATAAAAAAGGGAGTAAAAGAACAAAAAAAAAAAAAAGTTTTTAAGTTAATTTAACAAGTCCCATATCCAATAAGGATAGACATTATTCTTGACATTAATTAATCCAAACCAATCACACTTAGTAATTAAGTTGTTCTCTGACATATCGATTATGTCAAGATTTTAACCGAATCCAATGATTAATTCAATATGATGCCATAATAAAAAATAAAAAATAATTTGGCTTAGACAATAAGTGAACTTCGAAACAAACTCAAAAATAATTTGATAACAAGATATTTTCTAGGATATATATTTTAGAACTAAACTAGACATAGTATCTTTTCTCGAAAAGGATATCTTTAATTGATCAATATCCTTTTAAATGCATAACCAACTCTTTATCACGGAATCTCCGAATTTCAATGCCCATTTTAGGTTTTCTAGTTCTTTTAATACGAAATGACGAATTCAAAACATAGGTTAATTTACGTCCTCAATAAAATCAAAAAAATAACAAAAACATATATATATATATATATATATATATATATGTGTGTGTGTGTGTGTGTGTATGTGTTATTTTTTTTTTAAGTCCCTTAAATGTTATCCCTTTGATTGGGGAGTAACAAGTAGGGGTCGACTAAGAGTTTGGCTTCCCGCCGGTGGTGGCATGGCCATGCAATCTAGGGTAACCCTAGGTTGAAGATGATGATGCCAAAGAGAGAATTCTTATCGATCGCATAAAATGATAAATTTGAGCTTATTTTCACTTGAAATTTAATTATGACCCTAGGGTATGCTTCACACATAAGTTATATATAAATGATTAGGAATTTCTCTCGAATTTCAATGCCCACTTTAGGTTTTTTAGTTCTTTTAATACTAAATGGCGACTTCAAAACATAGGTTAACTTACGTCCTCAATAAAATAAAAAAATAACAAAAACATATATATATATATATATATATATATATATATATATATATATATATATATATATATATATATGTATGTATGTATGTATATATGTAATGCTCAATACCCACTAAAATAGAAATGTAATAAAAGTTTAATATTAAAACCATGTAAAAATAAATAAATAAATATTTTTGAGAACGAGAAATAATTATTAGAAAATTAAAAGAATATTTAGAAGGGTCAAAATAGTTTTCCATGCTTAAAGCATATTTTAGTGTTTTTCCGATACATGAATAGTTGTTATTGCATGAGAAAATTAATTAAAGCATGTTGTTTGTGTATGAAAAATATTTTTTTTTAGAATAATTTTTAGAAGGGTGTTAGATTATTTTATATGATTTTATAAATCTTTCTACATATGGTGAATATTTTATTGAATTGTCTAAGTGTAGGAATAGTATTTTTAGAGGTAAAGAATTTAATTAGACACCTTAAGAGTATGAGAAATTTTTTTTTAAGAGCATAGAATAATCATATATGATGTGTGAGAGTTCCTAGAAAATTTAAATTAATTTTAGTAAGTATAAGAAATATTTTTTATAGGAAAAAGTGTAATTTTCACACTAAATAAATAAATTGAAGGCCCAAACTAGGGCCAAAATTTATGAAAATTTAAATAAAAATCCCTTAATTAATTTTTGAATTTATTATAAAAATAAAATTTATTTTTGAAAATTATAGAATGGAATTTTAAAAGAAGGGACTAAATTGCAAAACTTAGGGACTCGATTGCATAAAATTAAAAGTATAATAATCCAAATTAAATTATGTGATAATTTTAAGGGTTAAAAATTAGTCCTAAAAAATAAAAAACGAAGGATTAGAAGTGATTTTTTTGTATAAAACAGGGACTTAGGAAAGAATGGGCTATGGAAAGGTCTAGAAACTTGGAGGACCAAAATTTATTACTTTCCTCCCAAATTTGGGCTAACTAGAGAATTAATTAATTTTGACTTCCAGTAAAAATTATGGCAAAAACTAAGCAACATGAAAGGGTTAAATAAAAAGATGAATAAATGTCTAAAAATTAGGATAAATGAAAATGAATGATTAGAAATTTAATTAAGGGCTGAGATTTTTCCCCATTAAGGGTAGAGATGAGTTCAATGATTCCAAAAACTTTCATACAAATAAGGGCACTAGAAAAATAAAAAGGAGAGGAGAAATTGAAAAACACAAAGGAAACTCTTACAAAATTTTCACTTAGAAATCACCCAAAACATTTTTAATAACTTCTATCCACCTCTAATAAGTGTAAGAAGCTTGAATTTTAAGTGGGAAGCAAAAAATCTCAAGGAAAAAATTCCAAGATCAAATTAAAAAAATTTAGAGGAAAAGAGGAGGAAGAGAAATCCTTCACCAATCTACCTTTTTAGAGTCTAATTGGAGCTCAAACAAGTAAGTTAACCTCACCTAGACCACAAGCATGCTTCATTTAAAGTCAATGTCATGTTTAATTTCTTGATTTGATTTAATTACTCAATTAAGAAAAATTAGGGTTAGGGTTCTTGATAAACCAAATTTGGGGGGTTTTTAATTATTTCATTTAATTGGTGTTTTGACATTTTATTATGAATTATTTGAGCATGAATTAATTTTTAGGAATGAAAACTTCACTTTAATTGAAGAAAAATCCACTCGATTTTTAAGAATTATATTCGGCCTAAACTAAGCAAATTAGGGTTTGAGTTCAAAGAAATTTAATTCTGGTTTGATGAGTCATTCACACTTGAATAAGAATTTTTTGATGAATGGGAATGGAAAATTTGCTAAAAATTGAAGAACATGGATTATATGGGTTTGGGCCCAATTTTGGCCCATTAAGACCCAATACGAGTTTGGACCAGATTTCAGGTCCCAATTTTCAATTAAATTAATTCCTATAGTTTTTACATATCTAGGCTACTTTGTGTTAAAATGGTAGGGCCAAATGAGAAGAAAATCGTAGGAATTTAAATGGTGAAATATTTGGCCTAAATGATAAATTTTGGGAAGTAAGTTTAAAGTAAGTTCCAAACCCTAAATTAATTCATTCAAGTACAAAATAAGTTAAAGGGATGATTTAGAACAAAAGTGTTCATGAAAATCTAAAGAAAAATTGATTTAGGAAAAAATTAGACTTTAGGCCCATTAAGGCCCAAACCAAAATTGAACCTCCTAAATCAATGAAATAATACCCGGTTAGGTTGGAACATGAAGTGATGCTTAATTTGGTAAAGACCAAATATGAAAAAATAATTAAGAACCTAAGGAAAAGAATTTATGAAAGTAAAATGAAAGGTAAGTTTAATAAACAAACAAATGGAACAAAAATGTTAATATTCCTTTATGTTATGGTTATGTTCTTTTAAATGCTATATGAATGCATCATGTTATGAATAATGGTCATACTTGAATGTGATTGATGATGAGAATTGGGTTATGATGATTGATGTGCCAATGATGGTCTGTGTTGGCTTATATTAGATTGACGTTATCTATGTCTGTTATGCTTGTCTAATTTTATATCGATTCTTATGATTTGGTTACATAACCCTTCTAAGTAAGCATTCATGAATTCATACAGCTTGCTAGTTCATTGCAAATTGCATATGCATGCTTAGCTCATGAATAATGTTTTAAGTCATGAAAATATATTTTATGTCATAATTATTCAATAGCAATCGGAATGATTTTAAAGGAAAAGATTTCTATGACTTGAGGTTTTGAGGAAAGGACTTCATGGGTTTTTCATACGAGTGATAGTAATGGTTCGGGGTCGGGCAAGTGCGGACGTGCACTTTTAGAGGCTCGGTAGGGCGCGTCCGTGGATAGGTCTAGTTCGCCGGACATATGTGATGAAAACCCTTAAGTACTTAAATGCGACATGTCCGAAGACGGAAAAAGGATTTTCAGACTCGTTTATGAAATGTTTTATTACATAAGAAAAAGGGATTCATTATGCATATTAGTTTTTTATGCATACCTACACATGTACGTACACTATATGCATATTTTAACTTACCGGGTTGTAGCTCATACGGTTTCTTATGGTGTAGATAAATAAGATGCTATGGCTCACTTCTCCGCGAAGCCGACTATCGAGAGAGGCATCGGACGCATGTAACTTAGATGAGGGTTTGGCTTCGGGTAGACCCATTACATAGAGTAGTTGACACGGAATCGATCATGTATGTAAATAGTTAAGGTGTGTAATCGAATAAGTAATAATAAATAATAATATCATAGTAGTAATATAATTACTTTAAATTATCCCTTGCATATTGACATGATTAGAAGTTTAGCAAACATGTAAAATAATATAAATTAAAATAAAATATCATGATAAATAAACGCGATATAAACGCAAAAAATTTATAGCGAAGTTGAAGTAAGAAATAGGACTCGAACGTCATTAAAAGATTTTTACCATGTAAATACTCTTATATACGTTACAATAAAATCATAGTGTCTTATTAGCTTACATTCATTACACTTCAAATGTGACTAACGACGGTAATATTCTCAACTTATTAGGTCCTAGATTGGAGATGTTACAATATATATATATATATATAATTTTTTTTTTGAAGTCCCTTAAACGTTATTCCTTCTATTGGGGAGTAACAAGTGTGGGGCTAGCTAAGAGTTTGGCTTCCTCGCCGGTGGTGGCATGGCCATGCAATCTAGGGTAACCCTAGGTTGAAGATGATGATGCGAGAGAGAGAATTCTTATCGATCATGTAAAATCATAAATTTGAGCTTATTTTGGTCACTTGAAATTTAATTATGACCCTAGGGTATGCTTCACACATAAGTTATATATAAATGATTAAGAATTTTCTCTTCAAATTTTTTTTTATTATTCCAAGAAAAACAAAATTCGATAAAAATGATGATAATTAACATGAAAAGGTTAAAAAAAATAAACAATTTAATTAGTAGTTATTACAAGATTCATTCCTCTTGGACATAAAATTTCTCACATAAAAAATTTTAAAAAAATCCACATCTACAAAAATGTACAAGATATTGAATGAAAACTTGATTATATCAATAAAACCTTAATTTATTCTCATATTTGTGATAAGTTTTTTTATATTTATAAGTATGATGATATAGACGAAATTTTCCGAAGTTTTTTTGAGATTTTAGGAAACCATAAAACTAAGAAACTAAAAATATAAATGCTTATTCCGTAAGTGTTTTTCCCTTTCTTTCGAAGACAATAAGGTTTATTCTCTTATTTTTATTTAATTGGTAATTGTTGAGTGAGATGTACAAATTTATGTGTAAAATTAGAAATTGATCCTTTTTCTTCCCTAATTTATGAGTGAGACTTCTACTCTTCCTTCACTATCTTCTCGCAATGGTTTCAAAATCGACAAAGTTAATTTCCGATAGGGTTTCTAGTCAAACTCTTCCTAGTAACGTGCCATTAGCATCCCAATTGACTATTTCGTAGATAAAATTGTCAAGTTTTGACATATCCAAGACAGATCCTATATCCAATAATGCCTTCTAAAAATATGTTCGAACCTTCATCCTTCGTTATGAAGACATTGATAAACCTCTAGTGTGTATGGTCTACACCGAAGGGAAAAAAGAGGCCCAACCACCACTAGACAAAGGAGATTTGTTATGTCACCGCTAATAACGGAATATCTTGGATTAATGACTCGGCTTGAGTTGTTACATATAGTTATCTACTATATATATAAAGAACAACATGGGGTGTAAAGGCATGATGAGTTTGTTATAAAAAATATTCTCTATTGAGAATGGGAGAGAGGTAACCTTTAGAATTATTGCCATTATCTTTGTTATTGTAACCGATATTTTATCGCCTATATTACATCAATAAGAATCACCCTTCCTCATCTTTCTTGTTTTCTACCTATTGCTTCTATTTTCTCTTTATTTTGTTTCGTTTTATGAGTGGGGTTAATCATTTTGGTATCGGAGCGTTAATCCTTGTGGGTAATGCCTACTACTAGAATGGAGGCTCGAATGGAACAAGTTGAGACCGAGATCAAGCTCTAACCCGTACCGAAGGATGATGTGGTCGATTTGAAGAGTTCCATGGCCACGGTTGCTCAACGTTTGGAAGATATTTATCATCCATTCTCTCGAACAACAAGGAGTAGGGGCTAGGGATAAAATTGAGGTAAGTCGTGCTAAGACAGGGGTAACAGCGGCCCTAGTGGTTAGTTATGGACATCGCCGGCTATCGAAGTTGAAAAAATCTCGGATAAGGACAAGTTGCCATAAAAATTAAAACTCCTAACTTTTGGAGGGACGGATCCGGACTCTTGGATTTTTCGAACAAAAAGATATTTTTTCATAAATTGATTAACTAAAGCAAACAAAATAAAGATAGTTAGAGTTTTTTTTAAAAGGAAAAGCACAAGCATGGTTGATGTTCAAAGAGAGGGAGGCACCATTCACCACCTAGAATGAGCTAAAAATGCAAATGTTGCAATGGTTTTTGGGATCGGAAGATGGGTCAATGTTGCATTGATTCTTTACTTTTAAACGAATTAGGACTCGTAGTAGAATATCAAGTAACTTTTGATATGTTAACGACCTTTATCGTGAAGTTAGAGGAAGACACGATGACTATAATGTTCATCAATGGAATATATGAGAACATCGTAGCCGAGCTTTTCATTTTAAATCCCATAGGCTTGAAAGATTCCATATAAGTTACAGCCTAAATTGAAAGGAAGAACAAGATCATTAGCCCAACACCGAAGCCCAAAGAGCCCCTTCAATCCATTATAAGCTCGATATCAAAACCATTTCATGGACCCCGTCCGAACTCAATAACTTAGCCATCCGAATTCTTTTAACTCCATTGTCAACACCCTCTATAATTTCCATCCAAAAACACGAGCTACTACCAATACTTGGATAAACCTATACCAAATTGACCGAAACACCAAAACCATATCGTAACATATTTTCAATTCAAGAAATTGACTACCGCCGAAGCTCAAGCTAAGAAGGAGAAAAGGCTTTATTATATATGTGATGAGAGATGAAAAATTAGTCATCGTTACAAAAACAAAGAGCTCCATCGGTTACCGGTTAGTGAAGATCGAGAGAGCAAGTGATGGATTGGAAGACGCTCTAATTATCGAAGAGCTAATCGAAGTTAAGTTGGATAGAGTAGAGTTATCCTTAAACTCGGTGGTGGGACTTTTTGAACCACGTACCTTAAAGCTACAAGGTAAGATATTGTGTACCGATGTTATTGTATTGATTGATTGTGGGGCGACTCATAACTTCATCTCTCAATCTTTGGTGGGAAGCTAAACATAAGAGTTTCGGGTACCACAAATGATGGGGTTATAGTAGGAAACCATTGTTGAGGATTACTTGCCATTGATAATGAAAAGCACTAATGTTATTTTGGGGGTAAAATGGCTTGTGACTTTGGGGATTACACAAGATGATTGGAGACGCCTAACCATGATATTCGAGTTAGGGGGAAATAGGTGGTTTTGCAGGGTGACTCAAGTTAGCAAGGCTTTAGTTTCCCTAAAATCTATGGTGAAGACTATTCAACAAGAAGGAAAAGGGTTGTTGGAATTATGTCATGTTTCGGCACATAAAGAATCCGGGAATAACTATATTGCTCCCGAAATCGGTTCTTATGAGGAGAGTTTGAAGACTTGTTTAGCACCCCAACCGAGTCGCCTCTCACTAGGGAATTTGATCACATAATCATACTCGAAGGGCACCGAACCAGTTAATGTGTGCCCTTATCACTATCCTTATATCGAAAAAAATGAGATTAAGAGGATAGTGAAAGAGATGTTAGAGGCGAGGATCATTAGGCAAAGTACCGACCCATTCTCGAGTCCAACGCTCTTAGTAAAGAAGAAAGACAGGAGTTGGCAATTTTGTGTTGACTATAAAGCTTTGAACAAGGCTACAGCTTCGATAGGTTTTCCATTCCTAACATTGATGAACCGTTGGATGAACTAAATGAAGCCCGTGTGTTTTCGAAGCATGACCTCGGATCAAGATGCCATCAAATACGGATGCAACCTTAAGACATCCATAAAACTCCCTTCGGGACACATGAGGGACACTATGAGTATGGCGCCCCCAGCTCCCTTTCCGATAACCTAAAAGGCGTGGTCGGGTGCATCACAATTTAGAGATCGAATTCTCAAATTTAATCCCATACACATACCCAATGTACCGACTATCATTACAAAAATTACAAAATGTAATTTTAAAAGCAAAGGTAGATCCTATAAATTTTTTTTTCTTTTCGCGTCACACACGAGCCTTTTCCGGGAGGAACCGACGACTTCATTATCAGCATTAGTATCACTTTTACCTATCAAAGCATGAAATAAACACGAAGTAAGCCGAAGCTCGGTAAGTAGGATGATACACGTAATATGCAATGATTTTCCGACTTTCCCCACTTCGACTCATCACATTTTATTTTCGGGTACCCCGGGTATTAGCAAGTCTACTCTATTTTTAATCCAAGTGAACGAGTAGCTCACCTTCGCTACAACGGAATTATCTCTCGTTGTAGCCACCGTTAGTGGTATCCATCATCTTACAATGCACGTACACGGCGTATAATATACACATAGCTGGATCGTTAATATCTAGTAGGTTACCAAACCTCATCGTTTTTTACTCAATGATTTTTCTCAATTTAATCCATTCTCATATGCATATAATGCACGTGATGTATCATGAATCACATTCCACCAAGTCATAGGTACTAAACTCATCGATTCCATACCATTAAGTTTATACAAAGAATTCAAAACCCGTCTAATAGGGTTAATCCATTTCATATATCATGAACCACATCCCATATCTCATATGTACCAAACTATTTATATCCATACCATTTTAGAAATTTAATCAACACTTGGGTCTTCATCAATATTTTCATGGTATGATCCAACTTGACCATTTTAGTATCAAAGCTCACTAAGTGTTCTTAGGATATCCAAGTCCATTTATTTTCATCCAAACTCATTTTGCTTTAGTCCAAGCCTATTTATTTTAATCCAGACCTAAGTTCATTTATTTAAATTTCATTTCATTTTATTTTAATCCAAACTCAAGTCCATTGATTGTAATCCAAACCCTTTTTTATTTTAGTCCAAGCCTACTTTGTTTTAGACCAAGTCCATGTGTTCTATTCAAAGTCCACTTTATTTTAAATCCAAGCCCAATCATACATATTTTCCAAACTCATATGGTTATATTAGGATGGCTTAGGTGTCTAACTAAATACTTAGGCTAACTAAACACCTTAACTAATCAATTTTAAGTACCTAAACTCATTTCTTTCCATTACATTTTGGAAATCCCTCTCCCTAAACTCGAAAATTTCTAGCGAGTGGTATATTCAAATGATCCGTCTTAATCCGACCATAACTCTTTATATATAGATCTAAAAATCACAAACGTTTTCAAAGAGCTAGTATACACATAGATGAACAACTTTTATTCTTTGCGTGTTATCCAAACGCACTCTAAGGTCCCTAAATAAATCTCACAAAGTTCGAAACTAAAAATTTTTCAGCATGTGATACATCCAAATGATCCGTACCAAATTGGCCATAATTCTTTATATATAGATCTAAAATTCACAAAAGTTTACAGAGAGATAGTAGACATATAGATGAAAAACTTTTGTTTTTTTGATTTTTATCCAGAAATCACTTTAAGATTCCTAAATAAATCACGCAAATTTCAAAACACCCCTAAAATTCGAAAAATTCTCTTTTAAATTTTGTTTTCTAAAACACATTTCTCATCACATATAGTTATCACCAAACCAACCCATCACATATGTATAATCATCCATCATCATACATATACATGTGATACTTATACATTCTAACCTAAAGTTTACCATGAAATACACATCCAACATTTAAAATAAATCCATCATCAACACATCATAAATCCATCACCAAACATCAAATTTTTAACATCAACACAAACTACCATAACCATATATTACATGGATTAAAAAAAAAACCCATAAATCAAATATGTAAAAGAGAACTTAAAGCATAAATAAAACTAAAATGAAACCGAAAGAAACCTACTTACAATGATAAGTGTTTGGTTAAGATTTCTTAGCCTTTTTCTTCTCTTTCTCTTTTCTTTCTTTCTTCCTTTTCTTTTTCTCCTTTCTTTCCCCCAAACTCACATTTTTCTCTCCTCTTTTTGAAGGGCATGAATTTTTGGCTAGAAAGAATGGTAAGGTTTCATCTTTTCATCCAATTTTAATACTAAACTTTTTCTTTTTATTTCTTTTATGTTTAATATGTCAAGTGTCTAATTTTTGTGGTAAGAGAGGTCAATTGATGGAGACAAAAAGATAGGCAAGTTGGAGTGTTCGACCTTCCAAAATTAAGTAAGAAAGTACAATGGAAATATAGTGGAAGATTTTAGGTCAAATCACTAATGAAAGAGAGAAAATAAAAGATAATTAAATTAACCAACTTCCTAACCTTATTTGGTCCATAAAATTCAATCATGACTCTTAAATGGGACATATTTTTCACTTGCATGATCATTTTAAATATACATAATGGAAAAATAATTAATGGTTAATTAACTTCCAAAGAAAGTATTCCTATGAATAATTTCATAAACCTTAAATATTTTCACACCATAAATATAAAAGAAATGGCACATAATTTATACTCACATAATCATGGATATTTCAAGAGCTATTTGGACTCAAGAATTAAATTTCGGTATGCCAAAATTGATTTTTAAATTTTTTTTTAAACCCAAGCATCTTAAACTCACCAAACACAAACATGACACAAAATCATAATTACGACTTAGTAGATGTAGATAAAAATTATTTTCGTACGTGTAGCTACGTTAAGCAAGTTCACGAGAGTTACATTCCTCCCATCCTTAAAAGAAATTTCGTCCTCGAAATTGGTTTATATAAATATCCCTAGGTATTTTTCTTTTCATTTCCTCTTCTAGTTCCCGTGTTATTTCTTCGAGGTCATGATTCTTCCATAAAACTTTAACTAGGACAATGTCTTTATTCTTTAGGTTTTTAAATCATCGGTCGAGAATCTATATTGGTCTTTCCTCGTATGT